GGCCATGGTTTCAGCCTCCTCCCAGCCCCCTGGGCCCAGGAAAAAGAGCCTGAATGTGGGCCTCACTGACTCCATGAAGGAAGTCAAGTTGCTCGCTCCTCTGAAGGAAACTGTCCACCGAGTGGGCAGGAGAAGCCAGAGGGCTGTCTGGGCAGCGCCCAGTGCATGAGTCATGTGTGTGGACGGCTGTCGCCACACCCCAGAAACTGAGATGAAGGAGAAGGACACACAGCCCTGCCAGTCCGTCTCATCCTCTGTTGGGGGCAAGCATCTTGGCGCATTCAGGGTCCCCAGGACGACTTCTGAGGTCGTGCTCCTGCTGCTGGGGGGTGCCGAGGGGCCAGGGGTGAGGGGTGAGGGGGTAGGCCGAAATTAACAGGGCAGTGATGACTGTGGTTCTCAGGCCCTGCCTCCCACCTGACCCAGACCTGCACGACGTCTTACAAAACAGGAGTGCTTTCCAGCTGAGCTGAAGAGCAGATCCGTGCTAGAGACCCATTGCAAAGCCTGGCGCTCCCCAGGGAGAGACTCCGGGTCCCTCTCTGCTCTGCTGCTCTGGGAACACAGGCGGCTGACCCAGCCAGTCCAACCTGCCAGGCACCTTGTCTGGCTGAACCGCCTTCCTCTGCCCTGTCAGAGCACCCAGGCAGGGTGGGGTGAGAGAGAAGAGCAGTCAACCCTCCTCCACACCCGGGGCGGGTTAGGAGGTGTTTACAAACACTCGGGGAATCCAGAGAGCCGGCCAGGGGTCAGCGGGCCCCGGGGCCTGGGGGGGGCACAGGCCTGGCGCCGGCCTTGTTCTTGTCGCTGGGGCCCTCGCCTCCACACCTGGACTCTGGGTCTATAAAGCTGGAGGAAGACAGCCTCTTGGACTCCGGGCAGCCTTGACCAACAATGTGCTCTGTCTGGAGGAGGGGAGTAAGCCACCCCGAGGCGTGGGAGGGCAGGAAGCCAGCTCTCAAGCACACCCTGGGTTGGACCTCTTGACATCTCTCCTCTGACGGGTTTCCAACTCCGGCCTCCCGTGAGGCCCCTCCTCTGAGTTAACCCCTGCCCGTGTCCAGCATCTAGAGAGAAGGATCTGGAGGGGAGTTTTGGCGGGGGGCGAAGCTGCCCTCTTCTCCCCCAGCCTCCCGCTTCTGTCTAACCACAGAGACTATTTGTGTCTGACAGAAACCCAAACACATGAGGTCACCAGGTTTCTCCTCCCCTCCTCCACCTCCGTCTCTCTGTCCTCGAGTCCTTTCCCTGAAGGGAAGCGATGCTTCAGAGTCCTACTCAGCCTGTGGGGCTGTCCTGCTGGGTTTCATTCCTGATTCTGTCTCCTGTGGGGGCAGCACTAACCGCGTGAGGGTGGGGGAGAAGGGGAGGCCGGAGATGAAAAACTTGACTCCCAGGGTGAGTTTTGATGTCAAATCTCTTTGTCCAGCTGCGATATAGGGGAGCAGGGGATAGGCAAGGCAACCAGAGGGGAGTGTGGTATGAGTTATTTAACCAGTACAACTGGCTTCCCAGGGAGCTCAGTGGCAAAGAACCCATCTGCCAATGCAGGAGACAGGGGTTCGATCCCTGAGTTGGGAAGATCTCCTGGAGGAGAAAATGTCAACTCACTCCAGTATTCTTGCCTGGAAAATCCCATGGACAGAGGAGCCTCGCGGGCTGCAGTCCATGGGGTTGCAGAGTCAGACACGTCTGTGTGACTGAGCACGCGCCCACAACTTAGAATCGTCACCATGGATGGATCAGAGGTGGGGTGGAATACAGCCAGAGGCGGGCAGTCCCCGGCTGAAACTGACGGCAGGTACCTGGCTGTGACCTGCTCTGCTATTGGCTGCTGGGCTGCTTCTGCTCCTAACTGCCCTAGGGGCTGATCACACCACTGCTCAAAGTCCCCTGGAGGCCGACTCACCTGGTCTGGCTCTCTGTGCACACTTCTTAGCCTGGTGTCCACAGTCTGCACAATCTGGACTGGTCTACCGGGGCTGTCTTATCTCCCCTAGTGTGCTCCTAAAGTATCCCACAGTCCAGCCCCAGTGGGGTACCCTGGCACCCACACTTTTGCTTTGGCTGTCTGTTTTCTCCTGAAAAGCCCTTCCTCTGCACTCCCTTCTCTGCCTGTCAAATCTGCCACCTCCTTTAGGGCCCAGCTCAATGTCATTTCCTTTATAAAATCCACTGACTATGTTCATGTTAGCTATTATATGTAGGATGGATAAACAACAAGGTCCTACTGTATAGCATGAGGAACTATGTTCAATTTTCTATGATAAACCACAGCAGAAAGAACATTTTAAAAAGAATGTGTGTATAACTGAATTACTTCCCTGTAAAATAGAAATTTACACAACATTGTAAAAAACTACAATTAAAAAAAAATGCACTAGCTTAGAGAAATCACGATCTTCTCAAAATACCCCAAGCATTTTATGGATACAGGACTCTCTTCACAGCATTTATCAGGGTGTGCTGAGGGACCGGGACTCATTCAAAAAACTTTGTGCTCTCAGTCTGTAGCACCCAGCACACGTTGGGTGCCAAGTAAGTTCTCAATAAATCTTTAAAGTAATGAGTGGAGCCACGAGGTTGAATGAGGTTAACAGATTGTCAAACAGGGGAAATGGCACGAAGACAACAGAGTTATGCTAGGTTTTCCTGCCTCTTAGATGGCTGGTACCTCCTTTCCTTTCCCCTTCCGATCACCGTTAAACATTTACAATGTACTAAATAGGACTTTCCCACACTGTAGCACCTCTCAGGAGGAAACCTGAGGCAAAATGTCTGTATTCTACTTTCTCTCTCTCTCTCTTTCTTTCTTTTTTTAATATTTATTTATTTGGCTGCACCGGGTCTTAGTTGCAGCAAGCAGGATTTTTTTTTTTTTTCAGGATCTTTGATCTTTAGTTGTGGCATGCAGGCTTTAGTTCCCTGACCAAGGATCAAACCCAGGTCACCAGCATTTGCAGCGAGAGCCTTAGCCCCTGGACCACCAGGGAAGTCTCCGTCTTCTAATTTCTTACATGGTAAAAAGCAGGCACAATATGGTTGACTGGCATAACTTGCCAACTCTTCAATTCTGTAGCACTTCCTGAATATCTACTGTGTGTTCAGGTTTTCTGTTGGAGGAAACAGTCACCACCTGGTCCTGCCCTGTAGAGGACTGTTGGAAGCCACAGCTTGGAGAAATCTGAGTGAAGCTTTGCAGTGGATAGGATGTGGGTTGGCCAGAGAGAGAGATGGGCTGGGCAGCTGCGGGCCAGCCTAGTGAGTAAATGCCTGAAGTGGGAAGTTAATCTGGGCTACAGTTTGTTCAGGAGATAGAGAGGGAATCAGGGTGGGGCCCAGATAGGAATGCCTTGGAATCTCTGTTAAGTCTGAGGTTAATGCAGTTGATCGGGAGCTAACGTTGCAGAATTCCCAGCAGGCAATGTGCAGTGTGGCTCAAGGGGAAGGGAGCCTACAGACCAGGTGGGAAACTAACAGCAATCCAAGATCCAGGTCCTGAGGATCTGGGAGAAGCAAGGGATGCAGCAGACACACTGGATGGGAGTCAGACACCCTGGGCTCTAGTCCTGGCTCTGTTGTAGGGCCCTGAACAAATCACTTCTCTGCTTCTCTGGGCCTTTCCTTAACTCTAAAATCTAAAAACCTTCCGTGACCTCTGCAATCTGATGCTCAATAGGTACTTGAGTCCTCAGGATATTGGAAATGAAGGGAATCGCAAATCTAAAGGAAACTGCGGACCAGGAATTGCCTGATCAAGAGCCCAGAGTTAAAGAGCAAGGAGACACTGCAGAAGGTCCAGCCAGGAGAAATGGGGAACTGCGCGGGTGGGGGTGGGGGGAGGGCCTCTGCTCCCGAGGAGGTCCGTTTGGCAATCCCATTTCCAGTTCCTCCTTTAGCCCCCTTCCCTGACTTAGCCTCTCAGCCTCACCTTATTTGGTGACGGTGGGGCAAAGTAGAACGCTCCCAAGCCACCACAGGGGCCCCCCTGTGTACCTCCCCCTTTTCAGGACCTCAAAACATCCTTATCAATCGCCACCCACCTGACACCTTCCCCAACCGACTTTCCTCCGGAGTAACGGCCCCAGCGGCCAAAGTAGGAAGAGCAACCAATTTGGGATCGCCTTCGCAGTCCCTCGCATTGTTTTTGTTGTTTAGTCGCTAAGTCGTGTCCGACTCTTTCGCGACCCCTTAGACTGTAGCCCACCAGGCTCTTCTGTCCATAGGATTTCCCAGGCAGGAATACCCGAGTGGGTTGCCATTTCCATCTCCAGGGGATCTTCCCCACCCAGGGATCGAACTTGCGTCTCCTCCATTGCACGCGGATACTTTACCACTCATCCTCATAGCTACCATTGATTGAGAACTCACCCTGTGCCAGGTAACATGACTTTTTTTTTTTTTTTTAAACAGTAATTCTCTGAGGTGATTGCTCTCTCATTTTACAGATAAAGAAATTGAGACCCAAAGGTAATTAAGGAATCTGTACAAAGCCAAACACCTGCCAGAGGGCAAGACCAGACTGGAAATGAGGTCTGACTCCCCTAGTCGCTGCTCAGGCCAGATCCGGTTGGGCTGGGCGACCTTTGGCCGTTGGGGACACCTTCCTCCTCTTAGCATCACCGACTGCATGGACATGAGTTTGAGCAAGCTCTGGCAGTTGGTGATGGACAGGGAAGCTCGGGGTGCTGCAGTCCATGGGGTCGCAGAGTCGGACACTACTGAGCGAGTGAACAGAACAGAACTGACCACCTCTTAGGGTAGAAGTCTCCAAGCCCCGCCCCGCCCCGCCCCGCCCTCGCGAGCCAACTCAGGCCCTAAGGGGCGGGGTCGGCCAGGTCCAGCAGGTGGGGAGGTGGGCGGGGCCTGGAAGGGGACGGGGCATCAAGGGGGCGTGACCGGAAGCCTTAAAGAGGCCGCGGCGACTGGGGCGGGCGGTAGAGGCCGCCTGTCGCGGCGATCACCTCCTTCCTTTTCGGTCGGGTCGCAGCACCGCCACCATGTCCCTGGCAGCCTCGGCGGGCCGGGGCCCCGGGGCCGTGTGGTCCCCGACGCACGTGCAGGTGACGGTACTGCAGGCGCGGGGCTTGAGGGCCAAGGGTCCCGGAGGCACGAGCGACGCGTACGCGGTGATCCAGGTGGGCAAGGAGAAGTACGCCACCTCGGTGTCGGAGCGCAGCCTGGGCGCGCCTGTGTGGCGCGAGGAGGCCACCTTCGAGCTGCCGCCGCTGCTGTCGGCCGAGGCCGCGCCCGCCGCCGCCGCCACCCTGCAGCTCACCGTGCTGCACCGCGCGCTGCTCGGGCTCGACAAGTTCCTGGGCCGCGCCGAGGTGGACCTGCGGAGGCTGCACCAGGATCAGGGCCGCCGGAGGACCCAGTGAGTGTGCGGGCGGGTGTCGAGCGCGGGGAGACGGGCGGTGCTAGCACGAAGCCTGGCCGGAGCGCCGAGACCCTTGCAGAGTGTCTCCCCAAGGGGACGGTCGGAGCCACGCCTTTGCAGAGGGGACTCCCCCACACCCCCACCCGCTCGGCCGGTTCTAGGATTCTTGCCTAGCTTCTCCTTCTTGGGCTCTCCCGCCCCGGCTCTCCCAGTAGGTCGGTTCCGGTACCTGGGGATTTTTTTTTTTTTTTTTTTTTGAATGCGGGACGGCGCTCAGCGCCTGGCATTTAGTAATCACTTCATGAATTTTTGATGAATTGAAACTATGTGTGGGCTGACGAATTCCTCTTATTAGCTGAGTAGCTGTGTATATTTGATGTACGCCTTAGCTTACGTGGAAAGCCTCCTCGGTATTTCATTGTACTGGACACCGAGCTGTGAATGGCTGGGCCGGGGCGCTGGGAAAACCAACTGGAGCAGTTAAATCCACTGACACTAAGCCCTAGAGGCTCGCTCAGGGGCCAAGCTGGGGGCGTTACTGTGCGGGGTGGGTGTGGGTGTGGATGGGGGGTGGGGAAAGGGGAACGCAGGCTGCCCAGCGAGGGCTATCCCGTACCCCCACCTCACCATCGCCTTAGGGATCGATCGGGAGAATTTGCCCCTCCTTCCTTCCTCTCCTCCTCTAGGAATGCTGGAGCAGTTTGGTCTTAACTTTCAGACCGAAATACACTAACCATGTTTGCCCTCGGCCCCAAATTAGTAAGGATTTCCCAGCGATGGCTGGAACCAGGGCCTGCGGTTGGCTAGGCTGAACTGAAAAGTAGGCCTTGTTTCTCTCTGGAGTTTGCAAAGTTCTCTCTAGCCCTACTGAGTGGGGAGTTGCGGGGGTGGGGGGGTGGGGGGGGGTGGGGGGGTGGTGCGGGGCAGGATGGCTGCCCACCTGTAGCTCCCCTTCCTCCCTAAGATGTTTGTGTTAGGGTATCACACTCCTGCAGGGAAAGCAAAGCAAACCCCTGTGCATTCTGAAGTGTTACCAATTTGTTTTCTCTCAGTGTTTGGAATGGAACGTTTGATTATGCTCATCTGGTATATCCAGAACTAGCCTCCGGTGGGGCTTCCCCACTGGTTCAGCAGTAAAGAATTCGCCTGCCAATGCAGGAGATGCAGGTTCCATCCCTGGGTGGGGAAGATCCCCTAGAGAAGGAAATGGCAATCCACTCCAGTATTCTTGCCCAGAAATCCCATGGACAGAGAAGCCTGGTGGGCTACACAGTCCGTGAGGTCCCACAAGAGTCCCACAAGAGTTGGACCTGACTGAGCACATACACACACACAGCCTCGCTTAGCTTAATTGGTTACTTGACTGGACCTTAAATATGTTAGTCATGTTATCACCTAACTCCTGTGGTTTATGAAGCACTCTGATTCACGCTGTATGTTTTAGATGTAAATGGTATTTTAACTTTCCCTTGGGAAGGAAGCAGGAAGAACCAGAGGATTTGATGTTACCAGACTCTCTTTTCTGTAGGTTCTTGCAAATGTTATAACTGCTTCCTTTATCCAGCCAAAGATGAATAGGCATTTCTGAGCTCGAATCAGATAAAAAGGGAGAGCCTAGAGGTGAGGATGGATGAGGTATCTTTGTGGCATCAGCTTACAAGCTGTAAGGTGAGCCGCAGCATCTTTGCTGACCAGGGGCCGAAGCAGTCCTAATCTTCTGCTTGATTAAATGACATTTGGAGCCTTGGATTTACTGTCCTTTGTCTTGTCCCATCCCAAGATGTGTGGATATCATGTCTGTCTCTACCATCTGTTGCTTCTTGAAAGGTAGATTGGATCTCCCTGCCAGAGATGGGGATTCCAGATCCCTGGGTCTGATGCCCACTCTGGCCCTGACTCATTGTTGGGCTTCAGGATGCTCCGTCTAAACACCCAAGTTTCCCCATGTACAGATGGAGCTTGTGGCCAGACTTAACTGATATTTATAAGATGTTTCTGGGTTCCTGGATTAATGGAGCCCCATGTATAGATTCAAAAGGTCCTGTTACTGCTTTGGGAGGAACGAAAACCTCAAGTTCCCTATTTCAGGAAGGGTTCAGTCTCTGCCCTTCATTTTTCTCATCCTCTCCGATGTAATTCTAAACCTAGGTGATTACTCCTGTCCCTATTATATGAGCTTGTGACCACTTAGTCACAATATCAGCTTGTAGGAAAACTGTGCTTAGTTGATTTTTTAATAACGGCAAAGGAAGCCTTCTTCGCTCCTCCAGCAATAGGCAAAATCGCAAGCTTTCCATCTGTCACTTCCTGGGACTTTCCAAGATGCTGGGGGAACTCAGTTAAAACAGGCCTGTTTGATGTCCTGGTACATCACTTGGGTGCTCAAGATAGCTGCTATTTGGAGCATAAGATATACGCTGTTAGGTGGAACTTTAACAGAAAGAAACTGGTTGGGCTAGGAGGATCATTTGAACTGGTTATTAATGGTTTGACTCCGCCTTAGACATTAAAACCAAAACCAAAAGAAAAGCTCACATCTTGGCCTATAGTTTTATGTGTGTGTGTGTATGTGTATGTGCATGTATGTTAATCTTTACAGAAAACAGTTGTGGTCCAGAAGTTAAAACTCAAGGTGTTAAGAGCTAACTGTGTAGATATTTTCATTTGTTCTTTTAGTAAGACACCACATATCACATATTTGGAATCAAGAGAATATGCTTTTTGTAATGACTCAAATTTTGTTAACCTCAGATTTAGGGTGATGATCAGTTCAGTTCAGTTCAGTTGCTCAGTTGTGTCTGACTCTTTGCTACCCCATGGACTACAGCACGCCAGGCTTCCCTGTCCATCACCAACTCCCGGAGCTTACTCAAACTCATGTCCAGAGTTGGTGATGCTGTCCAACCATCTCTTGCAATCTTCTCTTGCCCCCTTCTCCTCCTGCCTTCAGTCTTTCCCAGCATCAGGGTCTTTTCCATTGAGTCAGTTCTTTGCATCAGGTGGCCAAAGTTTTGGAGTTTCAACTTCAGCATCAATCCTTCCAATGAATATTCAGGACTGATTTCCTTTAGGATGGACTGGTTGGATCTCCGTGCTATCCAAGGGACTCTCAAGAGTCTTCTCCAACACCACAGTTCAAAAGCATCAATTCTTCGGTGCTCAGCTTTCTTTATAGTCCAACTCTCACGTCCATACATGACTACTGGAAAAACCGTAGCTTTGTCTAGAGGGACCTTTGTTGGCAAAGTAACGTCCCTTATTTTAAATATGCTGTCTAGGTTGGTCATAGCTTTTCTTCCAAGGAGAAAGTGTCTTTTAATTTCATGGCTGCAGTGTGATGATACATATCTTTAGAACACTAAACAGAGATTGACATATAGATAGGATCCGTTTAATAGGGAAGAGTGTATGGCCCCTTTAGGTAAGAAGAAACTGAAATGAATTGATTTTGCACTGATGTTAATGCAATTGTCCCTTATATCCGAGGGTGATTGGTTCCAGCGCCACCCCGCACCCCCCCCGCCCCCCCGCGCCACAATCTGTGGATGCTGAAACCCCTTGTATAAAATGGCTTCATATTTGTGTATAACCTCTGTACATCCTCCTGTATACTTTAAATCATCTCTAGATTACTTCTAATACCTAATATGATATATATGCCATGTTGTTCAGTGGCTCAATTGTGTCTAACTCTTTACGAACCCATGGACTGCAGCATGCCAGGCTTCTTGTAAGTAGTTGTAAAAACCATGGAAATGCTGATAAATAGTTGCCAGTGCATGAATTCATTTTGCTTTTTGGAGTCTTCTAGAGTTTTTTTTTTTCTTGAATATTTTTGAGATATTTATATTTTGGTTGAATCTGAGGACCTGTGGATACAGAGGGCAGATTCATTCATACTTCTCTGTGGTCTCAGCTGAGCTTTGGTTAAATGGAAATCATTTAAGTTCCATGATTATGAAACAGACATGAATCTGAGAGGCAGAGTAAGGTGACCAACATGTGGGCTTCTCTGCTGTCTGGTTTTGAGTAGCTTGGGGTCCTAGATTGGACAAAAAACAAACAAACAAACTCAAACCAAGCATCGTTTTAGAATACCAACAGCAATAAAAGTGGGGGCAGTAATCGCTTAAAGACAGATTAAAATATTCAGGCTGGTGACTGGAAGGCCATTGTGTAACCAGATAGGATGAAATTTGATACCACAATAGCCTTTCAGATATGGAGAGAGACTGAATGATGGAGGGTCATTTTCTCATCTTTCCTGAAGATTCAAGAGAGAATTTGGTTGCATGTGAAAGGATTTGGATACTGATAAAGGTTAGACATTTTGAAGAACTGTATAAGTATAGTAAGATGGTGTAATATGTTGCCAAAGGAAACTCAGGTGATTAAGAAGAAGGGTGAGACCATTGTTTTTATGGGAGAGTGGGAGGCAGAGAAGTCACAGATGAGCACAGAGATCTCAACTTCACAAATCTGAGCCGTCAGTGTTTGCGCTTATAGAATACCTCTGGGTTTCCTAAGCACTTTTCGGCTTTTTGTAACAGACTGGAAAATTTGAGCAATGCTGTTACTGGTTAAGTATTTTTTTTTTTTTTTTTTTTGAGATTCGCCTTAAAGATGACATTGGGGCTTTACTGGAAACCCTCCCACCTCCAAACTGGCAGAGGCCCCTCCCACCCACTGTGGGAAACTGATAGCTCAGTGTCCAGGACGGTGATCTATGGGCTCTGGAATAAGTAACCCCAGCCTGTTCACAGTGGGGGAATGGAGTGACTCAGAAGGGGAGGGTGCATCAAAGACACGGTTCCTGTGATGTGAAAGGTATGCTTTTTGTCATATGATTTGATGGTGATTTCATTTACGAGGCATTCAGTTAGCAATGTGAAAGTTCTCACTGACTTTTCCCCCCCTTGTTTTTAAAGTTCATCCATACTTTTAGTAATTATTTTTTAATACCTACTATTTTTGAGGCACTGGGTAGACAGCGTAAA